ACCAGTCCCTCGCTTTATATACCGCTGATATCCTAATTCGAGCGAAGAAAAAGCGATATTACCTTTTTTTTAATGAATTTCGGTTGGAGACCCATGTCAGGAGAGGAGTGGAGGAAAGCATAAATGATCGAAATGATCGAGCGGTTCGAACCGCCGCAAAGTGGTACCAGGAACACTTAACTCAGGTAGTGAAGAGAGGCCATAAGGAACAGACCGCTCCAGCCATAGTCATGATTACCGATGATAAGGATAATCTCCGCAAAGCAGAACGGGAGGGTGTTACGGCTGTGTCGTTGTCCGATTATGTGTCTGGACTTGAGGATTCGGATAGGTTGCTTGACATGATCAACGAAGCTAAGGCCGTTCATGATTCGAGGCCGACGATGGGTGAAACGTTCTACCCCGAGTATTACTCTATGTCAAAAGTGATGACTGGTCTTCGTGCGGGAACCCTTCATCAGGGCATTTTCAATGTTTCCCCTTACAATTATCTCGAGGGGTCGGTGCAGGTAGCAGCATTTGACAAGTCCCTTCTAATACTTGGTCGGGACAACAGCAATCGGGCGATTGCAGGAGATATAGTGGTAGTCGAAGTCCTTCCGAAAGATCAATGGAAAGCTCCGTTGACAAAAATCATTGATGAGGAGACAGTCACTAAAGATGAAAATGCTGAATATGACGAGAAAGAAGTTGTGGTTTCGGAAAAGGAGAGAAGAGCATTACAGGAAGAAGTTAGAAGAGCTCACGGAAAGACCTCGGAGGGAAGACCCCAGCCAACAGCTCGTGTGGTAGGAATAGTCAAGAGGAATTGGCGCCAGTATGTTGGAAACATCGACAAGATATCCACAGCGTCCCAGGTCCAATCTAGCAGACGACAACAAACCGTCTTTGTCATACCCATGGATAAACGGATACCTAAAATTCGGATACGCACGAGACAGGCACAAGATCTTTTTGGTCAAAGGATACTCGTTACAGTTGATGCGTGGAATCGCGATTCCAGATACCCAACTGGTCATTTTGTACGATCTTTAGGAGAGTTGGAAACTAAGGGTGCCGAGACAGAAGCTCTTCTTCTCGAGTATGATGTTCAATATAGACCGTTCCCACAAGTGGTTCTTGACTGCCTTCCCCCGGAGGGCCATAGCTGGAAGGTTCCGCAAAATATGGATGATCCTGGTTGGCGCGATCGTAAAGACCTACGAGATTTACTGGTGTGCAGTATCGACCCCCCAGGCTGTCAGGATATAGATGATGCACTCCATGCTCGGCCACTCCCTAACGGAAATTTTGAGATCGGTGTCCATATCGCCGATGTCTCTCATTTTGTCAAGCCAAATACCCCTATGGATACCGAAGCGAGCATGCGAGGCACGACAGTATATCTCGTGGACAAACGCATCGATATGTTACCTATGCTTTTGGGAACCGATCTCTGCTCACTAAAGCCCCATGTCCCACGATATGCCTTCTCCACCATCTGGGAAATGACTCCTTCTGCTGAAGTTGTGTCCTCAATTTGTACAAAATCTGTTATTTTATCCAGAGAAGCTTTCAGCTACGAACAAGCCCAATTACGTATTGACGATAAATCAAAAACAGATGATTAACCGAGAGTATGAGGTTACTTCTAAACTTTCCAAATTACTCAAACAAAGCGATGGACGCGGGAGCGCTTA